CTCGCTTCTACAAGTTTGTCAAAGTTCTGCTTTGAGAAGATGCTTACTTCATCTTGCTGGAAGGAGAGGAAGAGCCACATCATGTCTGAGGCTCGCGGCTGGACCTCCGAGGTCACCTGTACCAAGATTGCCAGACGAGGAGTTTCCAGAGGGGCAGAGGGCATGGTGACGAATCCGAAAGGAATTCCCCCGGCTGGCTCGGGGACACATCTGCGCATTCGGGGGCCCTGTGCTGCACTCTGGCCTATTTACCTTCCAGATAACATCTTTCTGCAAAGATAGGAGCCCAGCGGGTCACAGGTCCTGGCCTTATTCTCAAGGTTTCCATTGTCCTGGTCCCACGTGTCCTGGCATGGTTCCATTCCTACCTAGGATTTCCGGCTGATCATGGATTTCCGGTCATTATCTCCCTCCCCTGGGTCCCCGTCTGCCTGCCTCCTAGATCCCAGGGTCCATGTGGTGCCCACGGGGCCATGCGCCCATTTCACTCGGATTTCATCAGTTTGAGTAAATCCTAGAGTTCACGTCACATGTCCCTGGCCACATTTCAAGGCCTTGGACAGCCGTCCCGGCCACGGAGCCTGTGTGTGGTGTAGGAAATGACTCTGGAGAATGCGGGCAGCCCCGAGAGACAGGGCGAGGACAGCGCCTGTGCGCTTGGTGCCCAGCAGATGCGCCATGAACAATTGTCGAAAAGGTAAACATTAAACGTTAGCGGCCAACCACGCCTCCGTGCGATCTCCTCCCGCCATCGGCACCCACATGCTGGGTCTTGGGTGGTATTTTCTTCGACTAGAACTCTGAACCTTACCCAGCTTCCTCTCAAGGGCTGGGACGCTGGCCGGCAAAGCAGGCTGCTCACCGCCCCGGCGGCGGCTCCCGGGCTTGCTGTGTCCTCCCCACCCGCTGCCTTGCCCTGTCCCACTCTCCAGCTCTTCCGCGGTCACCCGGCGTCTGACCCGGTCTTGGGGAAAGCATGCCGAGCGCACCCTGAGTCAGGGACCCCCGCCCTGTTCACTGCCAGCCTCCTCGCTGGACGAGGTCCCGGTAGGAGACGCTCGGTGCAGAAGGACCTCGGCTGCTCCTCGCCACAAGCCAGCCAGGGTCCTGCAATGGCTGAGACGGACCAGAAGCCGTCGTGGGTGACGCACGGGGAGGAGGCCTTGTCCAAACCTGCCTCCCCACAGAAAATGATCGCGTTACCATGCGGCAGCCCCGGTGCTCGAGGGAAGCGGGGACCTGAAAATAACTACATGGCTTCAGAAGTGGGCGAGAGACGGGGTCGTACAGCTTGGAAGCCAGGCAGGCTCTGCTACTTCCGAGGGGTTCTCTGTCCTTCCTGGAAGGAAAGGGTGCGTGCAGTGCTGTGGCGGTGGCAGGGGGATCCGCCCTGCTGCGGGCAGGGGCGCTCACAGGGGCGTGAACTCCAGCCCAGGTCCCGGAGCACGCAGGCAGGCGCAGGCCTGTGCTGGACCTGTTACCTGCACGTGTCCACCTGCTCTGCTCGAATCAGCTCCCCATTTGCATGGGCCCCAGCTCCCAGACCTGCCCTGCGTCACTGTGAGGCAATGCAGGTTTCTTCTGAATGCCTGGGGGCGCCGAGGCAGGGTGAGATCGGTCTCGGGCAGCACGGTGCCCACTGCCCAGGAGGCCTGGCCCACCTTGCTGGGGGTTCTTGCTGTTCTTGACCCCTCTCCTCCCCATCAGGGGCCAGGAGGCTCTCTCTGGTCAGGGCACCCCTGCCCCGAGCCTCAGGAGCATGGATGTGCTGTCCTGTGCTTCTGTCCTGCTCCTGTCCCTGCACTCTTGTTCCTGTCCCCATGCCGGGGGAGGGCAGAGGAGCGCCTGGTCCGAAGAGCCCCACCCTGCAGCACCCGGACCCATCGCAAAGCCCCAGTGCTGCCACCAGTGGGGCCTCTGCCACAATCTGGATGAGAGGCCACGGAGGCACCAGGTGGCACAGCCCTTTGCCTCCGTGTGACCTTGAGCAATCGGGTGTGGGCAGGACGGGACGGAGAGAAAGGTCCTGTCAGCCGGGCCACCGTCCCTGCCTCTGTCCACCCCGCTCTGCAGCTCGATGCCCGAGGGCAGAGAAGCAGAAGACCTGGCTCCACGCACTGCACACGCAGCCCGTTCACTTGGCAACTCCACACTCCGCTCGGAGCTGTAGTCATGGTTTGCCTGAGGCTGCTCGGAAGCCAAGAACTACCCACCGCTCCAGCTGAGGGCTGTCGCCATGGTGAGGACACAGGCCCCGGGGAGCCGTGTCCATATAAGGCCGAGTCAGCCCGGCTTGGCCAGGCCGGCTCAGGAAGGCGTTTAGATCGCAGCTCTAGTAACGCCTTGGGGAAAATTCATGGCCAGTGGCCCCCGGGAGCTGTGGGAAAGAACAGGCTCCGCACGCAGCCTCGGGACGCAGACTCTGTCAGACTGCTATTTTTATGTACTGCATTACTTAAAAAATACCATTACAGCAGGAGGGCAGAAATGGCCTTGTGCAGAAACCTGTTTGTAGATCTGTGCATTAGCGGATGTTTAACACACATACACACCGGGTCTATGGGACTGAAACAGGGTCTGTTAGTAGCTGTTCTGCCAAAGCACATATGATTGTCCCAAAGACCCACAATGGGGCTCTCTCACTTTTTCCTGTTAGCTCTTTCTGTCCTCTTACTGGCCAATGTGCAATGACACACCTGAGTTACCTGGACCGCTCCCACATCCCTGAGCTGTCTGGACAGCCCATGGTAGGTGGGTCTCGGTGGCAGCATCAGGTGTCATGCAGCACCTAGCGAAGTGTCAGGTCACCTGAGCCCAAAAGGATGGCCCCATAGCAAAGGCCCGCATGGGCATCACTTCCTGTCTCTTGTACAAACTTCTGAGACAACTGTCAGGTCTGCCACTGTGATCAGTGTCTGTAACCTGCCTGACAACTGCAGCAAAGCCCAGCCCATGCTAGTTCTGGATTTTTGGTGTTAATCAAATTAGCTGGAGGCAGACATCTGCCCTTTACATGACCATGTTGGAAAGCAGACTCTGGTGTTTCCTTTGCTGGGGATGCTGGGAGACACTGGGTCTCACACTCAGTCACAGAGACCCAAGAAATCTTACAGACCTCCCCATGGCACCCTCCTTGAGAAGATGCTGGCACCGTGTGGGCACACATTCCTGTGCCCGCAGCAGTCCATTCAATAACCAGAATAAGCTGTCATTACTATAGAACAAGGCTCTGGGCAACATAGGATGAAAAATGTTGACTTGGTTCCGCACTGTGTAATCACAGAAAGTGAAAGGAACAGGGTGAGTGGCTCTCACTTGGGCATCCAGGCTCTACATGGCTGACGGGGGCAGAGAGTGAAGAGAACCCCCAGACTCCAGCTCCATCCCTGGCTGCCTGCGACACCGCATGGATTTATCTACTTCCTGTCCATATAAGGCTGAGCCAGCCAAGTGCTCAGGGAGAGAGCTTTCGTCACCGACACAGCATGTCATCGCTGGGAAAATCTATAGCGGGGACCAAGGGGAATTTTAAATCTCAGGAAATGGTTTCTTATATTTAAAAAGTATTTACCCTGTGAAATGCTGAAGAATGACCTTTAAGTAGCAATTCTTAAAGCACGGAGTCCCAGGCCAAGTAGAGAAGCCCTTTCTTAAATCAGAAGTCACTGATCGGAGAACTGCAGTTCCTGATGAACACAGCGTGGAGCTGTGGCCCTGACGCCGAGGCGGGGGCCCTCGCTGTGACCTCCACACTGGTGTAAGGTCAGTCACATGTGAGCGAATAAGGCCCAGCAAACTCAGATTCACTGGGAGGTCCTTGTCATCACGCCCCCTGTTAGATCCTGAGGAGGAGGCTCAGGAGAGGAGGTGTAACGGCGCCCTGCCTGGCGCGGGGACACACTCCCGAAGACGGACGTCCTCCCCGGGAGTAGGAAGGCTAGCAGCTACTCTGAAACCCACTCTGGGGTTCCACAGACTCACGGGGTGCCAGGACTGTCATGCCTATGGCCACAACACGCCAGCACAGGCAACCCCTTCCACGAGACTAAGGTGTAGACAAACCCGGGTCCAGGAGGGACCACGCGGCCCTCAGGAAGCGAGACGCAGAGGGCTGTGGATGACATGAAACCCCACCGCCCCCATCCACAGGCCTGAGCATGTACACAGAAATACGACCTTTTAGAAAGAAGCAGTGCCAGTATGCGGGCACAGCTCACTTTGGGATCCAACCTGGGCCTTGGGCAGCACTGGAGCTACAACCTCGGCCCTCGCAGAGGCCAGGCCGCTGCTGAGAGACCGACTGACCGTTTCAACTGAGCACTGAACACATCCACCTCGTGATCAGGGCAGGATGCCTTTCCTTCATGCTCACCTAGGCGACGAGCTGCGCAGAGGCCTCCACCACGGGATAATTTCACGTTAGCACCAACATCAAGGTACCACGGTCAGCGCTGTCTAGTGTGTGCGCCTTGGCTGCCGCCCAAGTGCAACTACGCTTGCCTCCGTAGATTTTTATAAAATGCACATTTACGTAAAATACACGTACAAAACACCACTGCACTTTACACAGAGCCGTGTGTGTACATACGGACACACACACACACACACTCACAGAACGGGCCCCTGTGGGTTTTCAGTCAACCACGGACTGAAATATCCGGGAACACCGCGCCATCCTGAGCATGCGCGGGCTCCTGTCCTCATTCCCTGCAGTGCAGCGCTGCATCCGTCCGCAGCACTGGCGCACAGGGACTTGGGCACACCCAGGTCTCAACGCCCACGGGCGTCCTGGCCACCCCACGGCCGACGCTGGGGACAGCTGTGTGTGCTCAGAACAGCGAGGAAAACGCAGAAGCCGCCCCGTCTCGTTGCGTCAGCACCGTGGTGGTGACAGAGGACACAGGGTGTCGCATTTCTTAGGAAGCAGCCCTGGACTGATCGCCCGAGAGGGCCGGGAGCGGGGTGGGGGGAAGGACAGCGAGCGCCATGCTCTGACTTACACGGCCTCCTTTCTCGGGGTAGCACTGGCAGCCGCCGCTGCAGTCTCTCCCTCCGCAGGGCACGTCGAACTTCTTCACACCCTGCGAAAATCAAGCACACAGCTGGTCAGCCGGGCGCAGGGCAGTCGTCAGCCCCCAGAGCCCCCTCCTCCACAGCCCAGGGCACAACCGAGCACCCCACGAGCGTTCTCCCCAGGAGTGTCAGGTTCACGTGAGGCGGGGAAGGGACAGAGGTCCCCTCCACGCCTGCCCGGCCACGCCCAGCCTCCCCCCAGGCACAGCCCCGGGGAGGATGTCATCGCGCTCCGAGGTTGTGTGCAGTGTGTCCTGCGCTCGTAGCCTTCCGAGGCACCTATGGGACTCAGAAGCCGAGTGGGGTCCTGGGCTGAGGACACGTTCCTGGACCAGGGGCCCCGGGGGGTGGAGACAGACAGTGCCTGGCGAGGACACCACAGGGACTCCAGGGGACAGGAAGCAGCACCCCATCTGCCTGGAGGTGGAGGCGACGGAAGGGTCCTTTTGGGGGTGTCACTCTGAGGCAGGACAGCTCCGTGGGGAGAAGGCGCCGCAGTTCAGAATAGAGTGAGCAGGGACCCCGGTGGAGCAGTGCCCAACACCCGCCACTGTGTTCCCAGGACTGAGCGCTGTGAGTAGGAGCACCACACTTGCCCTCTGCTCCCCTCACGTAACCGGCGTGGCTCCCCCAGCAGGTGCGACGGTGCAGCGCCCCCCACACAGGTGAGCTGTGCCGCCCTCCCCACCGGCTGAGTCAGTCCAGGAGAATCTTGGCCTCTGCCCGCGCTGCCCGTGCTTTCAGCCAAGTGCCCGAGGCCCCCAGGGAGCCCATCCAGCTGAGTTACCTCTGGGGACCCTGAACTCGGCCAGGTGGTGGTGTTCACTGGGCCACCCCCAGGACGCACCCTCCCAGGGCATGCACACGGCGGTGTCACTGTCCCCACTGTCCCCCGGAGCCTCAGGAGCAGGTCCCGGGGTGCCTTGTGCAGGCTTAGTGTCCTGAACCTGCCCACGCTGCACGTCCAAGCCGGGCCTGGTCTGCCTCCCTCCGCGGGGACGGGAAGGACCAGCCACTTCTCACCCAGAGCCAGCTGACCAGAGTCCCAGCCTCAGACTCCCTCAAGGTTCCCTCTGAGGACGACGAGACCCTCTCTCAGTGATAATGCCCCCCAGAACCTCACCCAGAGCCCCGCTTTTGCGCAGTCATTACAGCCCCGTGCCCGACCTGCTATCTCAGGTATCTGGCGCTATTTGAGGCATTCCAGAAAAAGCCTGCAAGTGTCAAATCCTTCAAAGAGAGCAAGACATTGAGAACCTTTCAGGCTCTTTTTAGGGATCTTTTTGCTCTGAGCAAGGTACTGAGACAGCCCGAGTTCCACAGTGTCAAGGTGAACAGCCCTCAAAACAGGATCCAAGCACTTGGCGGTTGTTCACGGCTTCAAGGTATGTCTACAACGGGGCCCAGACATTCCTCGACTTTCATTATGTGGTTGCTAAGAACACAGCTCCACGAATTACCTGCAGCGCCAGGGGACACGCACAGACTTCCGGTATAGGGGACCCCATGACAGCAACAGGCAAGACCCACTTCACCAAGAACTGGAGGGCCCTGCTTTGGAACGGGGAGGGGTCCTGGTCCCGAAGGCGCACAACCCCCAGTTGGTGTTTCACAGGCCATCTCTAACTTTGATCTTAGAGCCACTTGCAAATCCCGGTGTATAAATCAGTGGAATGATTTTAAGGGTTTCGCATCCATCTGACTGACCCCTGTCCCAAGCGCAGGAGATTCCCTGCATATGTGAGAGGCAGGTTTGGCTGCCTGAGTTGAACGGTGCTTTCTTGCTCTGAGGGCCAGGGCAGGGAGGCCGCCGGGACATCTCCGGTCTTCAGCATTCCAGCTGTGTGCCCACGGCCCCAACCCTGTCTCGTGGTAGCACTGGAGGTGGCTCCCCCAAATCCAAGCCAGCTCCTCTGTGGACTCCAGCCGTGTGCGTGCGTGTGCGTGTGCGTGTGTGCGTGCGTGCTCGGGCATGTGTGTGTGCGCGTGTGCCACATGCACTTGTCCAGCCGCTCACCTGCCTTTTGCGGGGCTTACGAATTCCAGCACCCACAAGAGCCCCAAGTGCCACACTCAGGAACCTGGTCTCCAAGACAAGCAGAAATATTTGTGCACCAGGCTAGGCGTGAGGTCTAGACAGCCTCTCGGGCCCAGAGCATGGCCCTACCTGGCCCCTGGCTGCAGTTTTCTCTGCATGTGGGCCTCCCGAAGAGGGGTGGGGGTGGGGCCTGTGCCCGGCCTGGGGCTGTGGCCCTGCGGGCTGCTGTTCCCCAGCAGAACAGCCCTGACTGCTCACACCAGGCCAGCTGGCCCACGTCACAACCCGGCCCCTTCATTTTACTGCTCAAGGCAAGTCAAGGACAAACCTCGTGCCTGCAGGTCAAGTCCTCGTAAAAGTGCCTGTTTCTCCCACCCTGCCTGTGTCTCGGGAGCCGCTGGCCACCTCAGCGATGGAACCTGCCCTGCGCTTTCAAGTCTTGCCGGGTCGGCATCTGCTTTGTGCAGTGACTTCCAGGGGTGGTGGCTGGGCCCTAGGACGCACGCTCCCCACTCACCGAGCCAGCTCGTTCCTGCGCTGCAGCGAAGTGGTATGGGCTCAGTGGGTCCCCAGGCTAAGGTGGACCCCGGCATCTCTGTCCCAGCAAAGGGCCACCCTTAGTCTCCTTTTGATCCCATTCCCTGCGGGGCCTCAGGGGCTCTGAGCACCCCGGACTCAGAGGCAGGGCTTCCAGTAAGAGTCAATGTTTAGTTCTTCCCTTCTCAGACACCTGCTCCCAGCGCTCCTCGTTTCCCACCGGGTGACATCCCGCCCTGCACCAGTGGCCAGTAGTACTGTGCTGACTAGAAACTGGGGGACTTGGAAGAGACCTGGACTGCTTGGGAACCAGCTGGTGAGGGGCAGGCCCCAGAGGTGTTCCCTGGGGACGGATCGTGTTCCGCTCCGCTGGGACGCAGCCAACACTGCTCCCAGGTGTCCGGTGGGAAAGCTGCGGGAGCAGGACTCTCGGCTGACATTTTACAGGGAACTCTTCCTTGGAGTCTTCCTGAATCACTGATCAGAAAGCTCTGGAAGCCCATTGTTTTCGTGGGCATTCCTCCCGACACATCCTGCTCCAGCAGCCGCATCCAGAACCTCGGGAGAGCAGAAGCCCGAGTCCCTTGAGGAGACCGGCTGCAGCTTCCTGCCCCGGCTTCCTGTCTGGCTTGGGGGAGCGCTCTGCGCTTTGCACCCCTGGCTCTATGGCTGCCACAGTGACTTCTTGCCATTTATAAACAGATTCCTGAGCGCCGGCACAGAGACCCACAGAAGCAGCTGCAAGATTAGAGGACATCCGGTCCCACGGGGGCTGGCGCTGGCCAGGCAGGAGCGGCCTGACGGTAGGGTGTCACATCGCTCCCCTGGGGACCCGAGCCATCGGGCCTCTGGGACAGATTCCCCTCCCCACCTGCTGCAGGGCTCACAGCCCAGAGACACAGAGAGCTGCTCAGTGCCGCATCTCCCAGACTGGCATTGGATTTAGGGCGTTTAAAAACGTTTAAAAATATGAAATAAGTTGACTGCCAGAAAATAAAATGCCTAGAAGATTTAGACTTCTTAAGTCTCTTTCGCTTCCTGTAGAAGTTGTCCTTGTATATTAAAGGCAAAACCCCAAGGAAATGTACCCAGCTTTTTGTAGCTCTATCATCTAACATTGACACACTATAAGGGAATGAAAGAAAAAGTCGACGGCCACTGTTTCCAACTGGCACATAAAAATGAGTATTAATCATATTTATATGAAGATTCAAGAACAAAATGCATCTGTCCTAAAACAAAGAATAGCTTGTCCTCTACATGTTCCAGAAAAGCCTTGTCCAAGGAAGTCTTTTTTAGCCAATATACCTCCAGCCAAAAAGAGCAATTCTCTGAAGGGAATTCACAGATATTTGCCATCGAATCGCCCCTGGCATCCCCCCCAAACTTCCTCTGCAGAGGAAGCCCCGACTACCCAGCCTGAGTGACATGAAAGGTAAATATTTCTCACTGGTGAAAGTAATTACCTTTTATATTTTAAGGCAAAATAATCTGTACAAGTCTTTGTCTTTGCTGCAAGTCTAGTCAAGCAGGGCTTTTCAGAAATACCCTTCTAGTTCAAAAAAGAGAGGCCAACCAAGAAGAAAGCCAGCTTGGGAGCCAGCACTCAGCCCAGCTCCATTCGTTTATCAAAACAGGAAATATAAGCCACTTCCGCACATGCTGCTTTAGAAATGAAGGAAATCATTCCACCGTGGTATTAGCGGGACAAGGCATATGGAAAAGGAAGCACATGTCAGAGAGCCACTCACAGAACAAATCCCGGCCCCGAGAGCCAGTGGGAGACCCCGCCAACTCCGTGTCCTTTGTTTAACAGCATTTCAAGGGCACCAGAGCAAACGTGATCACTCTAGAACAGACCTGGAATTGTCACTGGCTGGGGACATAGAGGTAGCAGGGGGGATGGACCACCCAACGCCACCTGCTCTTAGTACCAGCATGGTGATGATGGCCACTCCCTGTCCTCATGGAGCTGGAGATGCGGGAGATTGAGGTCAGGCTGTGGTGTTGGAGCAGAACAGCCAGGAAGACAGGGAGCCAGGGAAGGTTTGTGGGAAGGCTAAGGTCTAGGTCCTGGGTGTGCTCCCTTGGTGAACGCCTGGGGAGCAGCCGAGCTGCCCTCCCGTCACCACGGCAGCAGACCAGACATTACCATGGCAGCAGCCGCAACCAGGACGCTTGGCCTTAGGAGCTGCGCTTGAGTCATTGGAACAAGATGCATACTTATACTCTTAACAAGCAACTTCCAGCCTGCGGGGCGACCTTCTAGTTCTCAGGCAGCTCCAAGCACAGGGGGTTCCCCACAGCGGCCTGGAACCCGTGTAACCTGTGACAGCCTCATCTGGAGCTGCGTGTGGGTACTGACGTCAGGAATGTGGTGGCGCGCGCGTGTGTGTGTGTGTGTGTGTGTGTGTGTGTGTGTGTGTGTGTGCCAAGAGAGCT